TTCATTCCAGTTTGTAGCTCTTTTCTCTGGGAGTGAGAAACCCACTTCCTATTATCTTTAGTATATTGACTTCTTTGCTCAACACACCCCCTGTATATAGCAAATCTCCCATCTTTCCCGCCTCCTCCACCCAGTGCATAGCTGACCTTCTCATTCTGCTTGGGATCTCACTCCCTGGGCTGCGAGCCCCCTGCGTGGCTGTGCTTCTTATCTGTGCACTTAGGCATCTACCTCCCGTGTCAGTCTGTCCTTCTCACGCCCTCACCCTCCTCGGCCTCTGACTCCCTGCGCAGGGAGACCTTGCCATCCTTCCTCCACACACAGTGAGGCCTCCTTCTCCTGCTTGGGAGAATCTCAATCTGCCCAGGCTCTTACTTCCTCTGTCAGGCTGATTCGGGTAGACACTTTGCATCCCGCTGAGGGCTGATACCCCATTCCAGGCCACCCCTTTTGTGTGGACGCCTGTCTCTCCCTGCTCAGGCCCTGGAAGGCCACCTGCTCTGGGAACCCTTTTCCCTACTCACTTGAGCCAAGGTCTTCCACTTCCAGCCCTCTGACTGCTCCTGCCCTCCCCCTCCCCCTCCCCCCCTGTGGCCCACCACCTTGCTCTCCCCTACCTGATGTCCGAATGAGGACTGAATTCTTCAGGAAGAAGAGAAGGAAGTGGGGGAAGAGGAAGAAGGAAGAGCTTATCTGATATCTGTGGCACCTAAGAGTTAGTCCAGGAATTTATGCTTGAAAGTTATGCAGGTTATAATCATTGGGGGGTCATTTTCTTACCGTAAGGAGCTCAAGTATGCTGTTCCTCTATCTTCTGTCATGGAAGGTCCCCGTTGAAAAGTCTGAGGCCAAGCTGGTCTTCTTTTCTTTAAGGAAGAGTATGGGGGAGTGGAACTTATCCAATTGTGTTATATGCATGTGCGAATATGCCACAACGAACTCACGGCTCTGTGTAATTACTATGCACCAATAAAAAGTCACTTTGTCTTTTTTCTTGAATGCCCAAAGAATTCTTTGTAGTTCCATCATTTTATAAATTATGTCTCAGCGTTGAGCATTCTGAGTTGATTTTCAGAGGTAATGGGGGGTGCCCTGCAAATCCAAAGGGTCAAACCTTCTTTTATTTCCTAAAAGATACTGGAATTATAGTTCTTTCAAAAGAACTTTAAAAGGATTCTTCATTTCCTTCTCTTTTCTTTCTTGGTGGACATTGACCCTTTTTTGCTTACTTTTTAGTGTTTACCATTTACCATTTTTTTTCCAGAATGCTTTTTCTCTCTCTTTGTTTTATTCTCCTTTTGCTATAACTTCCATCGATTGTTTATGAGCTCTGTAAACTCTTTTCATATCTGCCTATTGTCTGGCCAAACTTATCTCTGAGTTTTCCTAGTTCTGGTTTATGTTACATTCTTTGCGCTCTGTCTTCTACTATTTTCTTATTTTCTGCAACCCATTTTGAAATGTTGGTTTACTATTTTCAAATGCTTCACAGTCACAAATTTCTGGTGAATATGTATCTTCTGAAAATATGTTATTTGGATCATTTTTCTCTCTTTTTTACATTTTTGAAGGGTGATCGACCATCGTCTTTCTGGTGCTGAAGTCGTATTTTTAGGGGGAAGTTTCTCTGTAAGGGGTTGGGGGAGGGATCCTAATGTCTTTTTCTTTTTTCTGCTTTTCCCACAGAATTGTAGAGAATATGGCCATTGTGCAGTCATCTCTTCGGTGCTGCCTGATATTTGCTTCCTTCCATCTTCTCCTTCACTGGTAGAACATTCTCTCTCTTTTTTGGCCCCGTGCCCTGCTCTCGTCGACTTGGGCTCTATTAGCTCAGCTGTTTCTACTCCATGTTGGGTGGCCCCCTCCTGGAAGGCAGCCCCACTGGGTGTTCCTGTGGTCAGCTACCACATACCTTTCAACCTTCCTGCAGTAGACTCAGGCTCCCTGGTGAGGCCCCTTCCAGTTCATGGTGTGGGCCTGGCTGGGTGGTGGCTGGAAGGCCCTCCTTTTGGGACGATGAGTTCTCAGTCTCTTGGTTCTCAGCATTTAGGAACCTGCTTTCCCTCCTGCTTCTGGCCCACTGTTGTTCCCTTGTTGCTCTATGGTTTGGTTCCGTCCAGTTGTTTTACAACATTGTTGGAGATTCTTTGTGACCTACTGCAGTTGATGATGGTGTCTGTGGATTTTGTCTTTTGCTACCACACTTGATCTCTCTCTTTTACAAAGGGATTTGGGGAAATTAAAAAATGGGGCTGTCATGACTTCCATCTCACTTTCCTTTATCTCTTTCTTTCCCCCCCTCATTTTCATAGTTTAAACCCCATTCATCACCGTGTACTTTTTGATTGGGGCTTAAAGAATGCTCTAGGGCCCCATTCTATGTAGAAATGACTCATCTCATTCTCCAGGGATGGGTTCTTGGCTCTTATTCATGCTGGAAGAGTTGGTAGAACAGAAAGTCAGATAAAGCAATAACGAGTCTTAGCTTCCTTAGGAAAGGAAAAGGAAATAGGATTTTCAGAATGTGATAGAAACAGCACATCAATTTTGTGTGTTTTGTTTTGTTTGGGGGTTATCATATGGCATCATTTACTACTAAAAAACCTGATTCAAGGCCTGATGATGTAGTTCAAGGACACGTGCTAGCATGTGGGAGGCCCAGGTTCAACTCCCAGCCTGGAAAGGGGTGGGGGGGAAGGCCCATAGGCTAAAGAATGCTGCATACTTAATTTAAAACAACAAACATTCTGTTTTTTTCTTTATGTTTCACTTTATACACTTAAAACTATATATTAGTTTTGTTATATTAACTATGATAATTTTAGTAGTGTCATGATCTGTAATTTTCTGATACACAGGTTCTGTTCTGGGCTTGAGTTTAGAAGTATCTTTAGAGTTAATATTAGCCATAATTTTGTATTTGGGTGGGGACTGTTGTCAGAGTCTGTTTCAAACCCTTCAATTTACTTGTCAACTGTCATTTTCTTGGCTATAGTTGTAATAAGTATTCTCAGATATCTTTAAGAAATTTTTAATGTCTTGTAAAATATAATGTACAATACTTGTATTATTTGCTGTACATTATGATTTCTTCTAGTAAAACATGAATTTAATCTCCAAAATTGTGTTCACTGTATATAACTCATTAAATTTTTTATTTATTTATTTATTTTTGGTGCTGGGGAGTGAAATCAAGGGCACTAGAACACTGAGCCACATCCCCAGCCCTATTTTGTATTTTATTTAGGGACAGGGTCTCACTGAGTTGCTTAGTGCTTTGCTTTTGCTGAGGCTGGCTTTGAACTTGCAATCCTGTTGCCTCAGACTCCTGAGCCGCTGGGATTACAGGTGTGTGCCACTGCGCCTGCCTAACTCATTAAATTTTGATATATCTCAATTATGTGGGAGGAAAAAGCAAATCAGAAGTAGGAGAAAGTAGGTAACTTGAGTAGAAGCTAGAAAAACAGAGCATTTAGTCAAATGCATCTGACCAAGTAGAATTTATATCAGTAATATAAACTTAGTTTACTACTTGAAAACCAATCAATATATCTAATTATGTTGGCCAACTACAGGAGAAAAACCAGTTCATCATCTCTTTAAACACTAATAGGCATTTGATAACTTTCTAAACCAATTCAAGATAAAAATTAGCAGAAAACTAAGGTTAGAAACTAACTTTTTAAAATCAATCCACAAGGGCTGGGCATGGTAGTGCATGCCTGTAATCTCAATGATTTGAGAGGCTGAGGCAGGAGGATCATAAGTTCAAACGAATCTCAGTACCTTAGCAAGGCCCTAAGCAAATTTAGCAAGACCTTGCCTCAAAAATAAATAAATAAACAAACAAATAAATAGAAGAAAATAAAAATAATAAATAATGGTGATGTGGTTCTGTGATTAAGTGTTCCTGGGTCCCATCCCAATGCCCCCCACAAAAGAAATCTCATAAGGGAAATTGAGCATCATACTTAAGTATGAAATATTGAAAGATTTTCTCCTAAGATTGGGAAAAGGATGAAGCTATCTTTTCTTACTCCTGTTTGTCCACAGCTGAATGGCCCTAGAGAGACCGGCCAATATCAAAATCCAACCAACCAGCCAAATGAAAAAAAAAAACCCTACCAAAAACAACAATAAAAAGAAAGAAATGTTAAAACAAAGATCATACAAGAAGCGACACTGCTTTAATTCACAGATGGTTATTCATGTAGAACACCCTAAGTACCTCTGAAATCTTACAAGAATCAGCAAACGAAATTAACAAGCATGTAGAATCAGTTTAAAAAAAGCAATTATTTTTTCTGTAATTTGTGTTTTCAGCAGAACAGGGGAAGCCAAGCCTGATTATAGGAGCTGTGAGAGAGCAGAGGCTCTGGTTCCAGAGAAGATGCAGTAGGCACAACACCCACTTGTCCTCCCACCAAACCGAACTGACAACCCCTGCGCAGAATGTGTCCAGCAGTTACCTGAGAGATCTGAAAGGCAAAGGGTTTCAGGCTCCTTGGGGAAGGAAACCAGAACACTGAAGTCCAACTAGTGGAGAGTTCTGTGGGTGTTTTTTCTCTTATATGTTCCAACCTGAGCTCTGTAATTGCACACTAGGCATAGACAAATGTGAAGGAGAGGGCCTCTACTTTTTGCTTAAAGGGTAGAAGAATGGCTAAAATCTCCCCTGATTTAGTGAAGAACATAAACTTATAGCTTCAAGAAGCATGGTGACCCCCAAATTAGAAAAACTCAATGAATTCTACACCTAGATATATCATAACAAAACTTCTAAGAAGCAGAGAAAGAAAATCATAAAAGCAGCCAGATAATAACAATTTTATATTTGTGCAGCCAGATAATAACAATTTTATAATTTTACATCCACTTGGCTGGCTACTGTGCTGAGATACTTAAGTCTAACATTATTCTCAATGTTTCTGTGAGGATACTTTTGAATGAAATGAACATTTAAATTCGTGGATTAAAGCAGATCATTCTTTGTAACACAGGTGGGCTTCTTCTAATCAGTCAAAGGCCTGAATGGAACAAAAAGACTGACCTCCTCCAAGCAAGAAGGAATTCAAGGTGTATGGTTTTGGTACCTGAACGGCAGCATTGGCTCTTTCTTGGATCACCAGCCTCATGACCTTTGAACTTCAATTGTAGCATCAGGTCTTCTCTGGGGCTCCAGCCTGCTAGCCCACCCTGAATTATTATTATTATTTTTTTTTTTGAGTCACTTTTGTCATTTATATTTTTCCACCTTTTTAAAACTGGTGCATTATAGTTGTATATTTTGATGGGATTTGTTGTTATGTATTCAATATATGTAATATAACAATATAATTTGGTAACATCACTCCCCAACACTTTCCCCCACCTCCCCTACCTCCCATCCCTTGGTTCCTTTCCTCTACTGATCTCCCTTTGATTTTCATGGGATCTATCCTCACCTTTATTTTTCTTTTTTCCTCTCTAGCTTCCTGATATGGAAGAAAACATAAGCCCCTTGAACTCCCGAGTTTGACTTATTTTGCTTAACATGATGGTCTTTAGTTCCATCTGTTTTCCTGCAAGTGCCATACTTTTATTTTTCTTTATGGCTGAATAAAACTCCATTGTGCATGGATACCACATTTTCTTTATTCATTCATCTGTTGATGGACCCCTCGGCTGGTTCCATAGTTTGGCTGTTGTGAATTGTGCTGCTGTAAACATGGAAATGCATGTATCCCTGGAGTAAGATGCCTTTAATTTTTCAGGATAAATACCAAGAAGTGGGTTACTGGGTAACAAGGTGGTCCATGCCTAGTCTTTTGAGGAGCCTACACACTGATTTCCATAGTGGTTGTACTGATTTATGGTCCCACCAACAATGCAAAAGTGTTCCTGAAGTAGATGGAGAATGATAAATTCCTAGGGGTCTTTGAAAAGCTCAAACATATTCCGTTTCTCCACAGAAAAGCCCTCTTCACCATGGCTGATTTTAGGACTGTCAGCAAAAGAGTCTCTTCGAAAGACTCCAATGTAGATAAACTTCCTATTTTTGTGTTGCCCTGTTTTACTTGGCCACTGGCCAAGAAGATACCAGCACTCCAGGTGCTGGACACCCCCTTACTAGTTTTTCACAAACATATCCAATATGGTACTTTGTAGAAATGTGCAAACAAGGCCTCTGGCCTTGACCTGGAGTTTCATAGAGATGTCTATATTTTTAAGATAAGTTACAATTGGGCTCCATGGTAACAGCTGGCAGGGGGAGGAAAGAGAGGGGAGAAGAAGCTCTCCCCTTCTCAAGTGTTGTCCTTGAAGAGTTAACATGCCCAGAACAGTAAAAGAAAAAGCTGCTTCTATGTGAACTTCTGGAGACTGTGAACTTCTGAGCCCCTCCCCTTACACGCTGGGTATAAAACTCTGAAAGTCCCTGAACTCGGGGTTCAGGGGATTGATTGATTACAGCAAAAGCTGTGCCCCCTGAACCTGGCTGCAGCCAAATAAAACTGTTTCCTGCTATCTTCGGTGCCCTGCCTCATTTGTCCCTACAACATTCCTTTTCCTCCACAACCTCTCCAGCATTTTTTATTGCTTGTATTCTTGATGACTGACATTCTGACTCCACCCTGCACATTTTGGACTTTCCAGATTCCATAATCACAGGAGCCAATTGTTAAAATAGGTCTCTTTGTGTATGTGCTTGTGTGTATGTGCGTGTGCGACTGCACACACGTCCTATTCACTTTGTTTCTCTGCAGAACCCCAACTAACACAAGAGAGGAAACAATGACTTCAATGACTGTGAATTTATCATCAGCTACCATAGAGGCCAAAAGGCAGTGGAAAAAAATCTTTTTTTTTTAAATGTTGAAAAAAACCCAAAAAAGTGTTAATCCAGAATTTCCTATCTGAGGAAAATGTCCTTCGCCAATGAAGGTGAAATAAAGTCACTCTCAGATGAAGGAAAACTAAGAGAATTTGTCATCCGCGGGTCTGCTCTGATGAAATGCTGAAAAAAATTCTTTAGGCAGAAGGAAAATGAAACCAGAGGGAAAATTGGGACTTTAGGAATAAGAAAAAGTCACACAGATGGAAGATGTTCGAATAAATACAGCAGACAATTTCCCTCCCTTTAAATTCTTTAAAGTATGTAGGGTGAGTGAAAGCAACATGAGAGCATCATCTGATGGGATTTGAGTGCATGTAGATGCAATAGCAGTTACCATGGAAATAAGGGTAAAGGGTCCTGTTTGGGAAAATGATTCTCCGTCTTCCACATTGGTGGAGAATGATGCCAGGGAAAATAACAGAGTAATTACACCCCAGACCCTCTCATCCACCACAATACTGCCCAGAGTCATCAGAATCAACTTTTCAGAACCATGGCTGAACCTCAGTCAGTGAATTTTGTGGTGGCTTACTTTTCTCCCTTACCATCTTCTTCACTCCATGGTCTTGAAGACCCCAAGCTGGCCAATGTGGTGAAAAACAGCAGCCCAGGGAGGAGGCGGATGGTATTGAAGCTCCTTTAAAAATCCTTTCTCAGAAAATTCATTTCTTTTTTTTTTTTTTTTTTTTGGTGGTGCTGGGGATTGAACCCAGGGTCTTATGCAATTGAGGCAAGCACTCTACCAGTGGAGCTATATCCCCAAGCCCCTTTTTTTCAGATAATTCTATGATTTGACCTATCTGGTGGTTCTCTGGAAGTCCCACTCACAAGGCTGTCTTTATTTGACCTGACTGGTAGCCCAGGGCAAGCAGCTATTTCCTGGAGGGTATTTGTGGAAAGCATTCAGTGGCAAATGTTGAACAATGCAGTAGCATGAGGTGGTTAGGTAACAGAGGAGGCAAATAATATAATACTCAAAAGTCATAAAAGGAAAAGATGGAGAATGATAAATTCCTAGGGGTCTTTGAAAAGCTTGAACATATTCCTGGGAATTTAGAAAGTCATGAACATTCATAGGGCTGTGTGTATGCCCAGGGCTGTGCACATGTTCATAAAAGACCCCAGAAGGACCAAGTTCTTCTCTTTGACTAACTTTGAGCTTTTTGTAAAGAAACAAGGCTAAGGCAGAGTTGTAAATCATCTCATTCAGTCTTACTGAAGTTGTGCTTCAACATTCACACAGAGCCCCTCAGCAGCTCTGGGTGACTTTATGGTGTTCGGGGATTTAAAGATCTTTTTTTTTTTTTTTTTTTTTTTTTAAAGAGAGAGTGAGAGAGGAAGAGAGAAAGAGAGACAGATTTTTTAATATTTATTTTTTTAGTTTTCCGCGGACACAACATCTTTGTTTTGTATGTGGTGCTGAGGATCGAACCCAGGCCGCACGCATACCAGGCAAGCGCTCTACCGATTGAGCCACATCCCCAGCCCTCCCCAGCCCTATTTATTTATTTTTAATATGGTACTGAGGATCTAACCCAGTGCATGTGCTAGGCACTGAGTCACAACTCCAGCCCAATGCAACGTATATTTTTTTAGTTTTTTGTAGTTATAGATGGACAGAATGCCTTTATTTTATTTGTTTATGTTTATGTGGTGCTAAGGATAGAACCCAATGCCTCACACATGCTAGGCAAGTGCTCTGCCACTGAGCTACAACTCCAGCCCACAATGTATTTTTTAATTTTTCCCTTCCAATAGCTCTCTGAAAGAGGCTCTGCTGCTACCTCCATTTTATGAATGAAGGAACTGGCCAAGGTCACAGTCAGAAATAAAACTGCACCAGGATGTAAACTCAGATAGGGGCTGGGAATGTAGCTCAAAGCAGAGAGTAGTTGCCTAGCATGCAAGACTTGGGCTCAGGCTGGTGTTGTGGCTCAGTGGTAGAGCACTCACCTAGGTCGTGCGAGGCCCTGGGTTTGATCCTTAGCACCACTTAAAAAAAAAAAAAGGGTAAAATAAAGGTATTGTGTCCAACTACAACTAAAAAAAAAGGAGGAGGGGGCAGAAAGAAAGAAACATAGTCTCCAGAGGCTGACATCCTCACTGAGGTAAACCTCTAGCAAATGAACAAAAGAAAGAAAGAAACAAACATAGTTTCCAGAGGCTAACATCTTCACTGAGGGGAGGCACTGA